CCTAAAAAGCTTGTATTTACCTTGTAGCATCTTCTTATTTCCAACCAGACTGCAGCATCCTTCAGGGCAGAAGTTGTCTCAAATTCCTTTGTAGCCCCTAAAGCACCTGACATCACAGGCCCTCAAATATACTTTAGCTCCCTTATGACCCATCAGATCATCCAAGATGAACATTTATAGTCAAAATGTAAAATTTAGAGAGCAGTTAGCGATGCCTCCTCACTGTACTGCTGAGGAAATTGAAGTCCAGGGAAAGAAAAGTATATTCACTGTCATGGTTCAGCTGCCATCCTACATGTGATTCCCACAATTTATCTCTAGGCCTGACCTCTCTTCTGAGTTCCAGACTGAATCTCTAACTTTATAATTTCTGCATTTCTTTGCTCTTCTTTTACCTTCTGTCCCCACTGACAGCTGAAATTATCCTTTCTTCTTTCTTCCTTTGCTCCCTACAAACCTCATTCCAAATCCTTTCACTACCTTCCCTTGTCTTTGAGTGATCTTTAAGAGCACCCCTAGACAGAGATTAATTCTGAGAGAGTTCTTTCCTCTTTCCCTACCACCTGGTCCCATAGGCTTCCCTCCTACTTTCCCCTGGCCCACTCTTGCATGCAGGCATGTGGACCCTTTCTTCCCACACACCATCTTTTCTTGACACAGGGAGTCATCCTGTCCTTGCTCCAGCTTTCTCTTCCTCCCAAGTGTATTACATATGGGGATGTGCTGAAGCCTGCTCGAGAGAGACAATTGTTAAATTTTGAGTGTGAACATTTACATCTCCAAAATCAGCAAATAGTGTTTGATGGATTGTCTGGATTTAAGAAAGTGATGAAAAAAGTGTTAACAATGCAGATTAAACTTAAAAGTGTGTCATATATAAATACATACAAACTTTTTTTTTTCAAAGTGCTGCTCATTAAGCATTTACCAGCATACCACTGATTACACATTTAAATGAACGCTCAAATGGTAGGCAGGCAGGCAAGAAGCATTTAATACATGCTTACTACATTCTAGGCACTGTGCTAAATACTGAGGATACAAATATAAGCAAAAGAAAAGATAGCCCCTGCCTTCAAGGAGCTTACATTCTAACAGAAGAGGACAGCACACAAAAAGGAAGCTGAAAAGCAAGAGAGGAACACATATCTAAGCAGGGCCAAAGTGGTGAAGTCCAGAGAGTCATGAGTAGACCCAGGAGGGCAATGAAGTGTGGCTAACCTGGGCTTATACACAAAATGGAGACCATAGAGGAACTCATCAGTGAGAAAAAGTGGCCACAGAAACAGAAGAATGTTCCAGGGTGCAAAGACCCCAGGTGCTAAATGAAGTTCCAGGGTAGGAAGAAAGCTGAGGCATGAAGGTGAAATCAAGAGAATCACAAGCAGGGGCAAGAGCTTACGTTCAAATGGGGGAGGACAATACACAAAAATAAATGGGGTGTACAACATCTGTCTGGCTAATCTTTGTGTTGGAGTAATCCTTGTTCAAGTCCTAAGTGAAAGTTTTCTAGCAGGCTATGCAAATTTACAGACTTTTAGATGTTATCTAGTACAAACTTTTTATAACTGAGGAAATGGAAACCATTGGAAGTGAAATGCCTATCTCAGTCAATTTCTTATTCCTCCTCATTTCTGTTGCATAATTCTGCTCCTAGGTCCATACTGTAAGTCTACCTATTGCTTTAGCTGAGTCCATTACTAAATTAGTGTGTCCTTTAATCATTATTCTAATTCCTTGTTGTATCTGTCATGTGTAAATGGACCCACAAAATATGTGATCCTGTCATGACTTAAGGTAATATCCAATACTGTTCTCCCAACAGAATCATGTCCTTTTCTCCTATCATCTTACAAGAAATCCTATGCTTTGGCCACTTTATAGTCAAAGGTCTTTACAAGCCCAGGTCCACAGGACTACAAAGATGAATCTCAAACTCACCAGTGGGTAGAATAGCATACTGGATGGGGTATTAGGCCTGAAATCAGGAAAACCTGGGCTTAAATCTTGCTTGAGATATTTGTTTGGTATGTGATCCATCAGCAAATAACTTATCTGTGCTTCATTTTCCTCAACTCATTTGTAAAATGAGGGTGTTGTACTTGATAAAGTCTCTTCTAGTCCTCAATGTATCATCTATATTATATACTATACTAAAGGTTCTCAGAACAAAATCTCTTGTCAGGCAACTATTTATTTCCCCTCTGCCACAAATCCCAGATAGAGAGAGACTTCCTTTGAAAGAGGATTTACGCAATGTCAGAGCTAAAAGGGTTTCACATGGCCCATCATATTTTGTCTAAACATACCCTTCTACACAAGTATCTTCTTTCTTTCCTGTCTTTTCAGTGCTTCAGTTTCCTCATCTGGAAAATGGGATAATAATGCCAGTAGTATATACAGCACAGGTTGTTGTGAGGCTTAAATAAGATGATGCATGTAAAGCATTTTGCAGACTTGAAAGGGCAATATAAATATCAGTTGCAATGATGATGATGATGACCTTTCTGGAAAAGGATGACTTCAAGTGATTATCATCAAACTTAATACTCATTTATGATTTTTCCCTGCTTTTCTACAGATTTTGCTATAAGAAAGGAGAAGAGTTTTAAGGTATAAATTAACAATAATATGAGTCTATAGCAGCAGGATCTTCTCTGGAAAGGATGGTGGGGATCGACGCCCTCCGGGAAGTCCTATTCTACACAATGGTCCCCTGATAAGCCCACCCTTAGAAGGATACCTGTCAATGTCTAGATTTTTTTTAGTTTATTTGTTGCTTATCGAGCCATCTAGGAAATATTTGAAATAAAATCTGCCATATATGTATAATCTGTGCATCAATCAGTGTTATACCTAGCACTGTGTAGCTAGGCACCAAAAAGAATTTATGCAAAAATCCGACATATAGCCCTGACTTGAAGGCACTTAAGAGTCTTTTTGACAAAACAACATGTAACCGTGTAAAAGAGGAGACAACACAAAACAGTATAAAATTAATACTAGGTTGTGTGAGGAGTCCAGATAAGGGGAAAATCAGTAGGTATTTGGAGTGGTAGGGGAAGGCTTTCTGGAAGAGACCAGACTTTAACTGAGAAGGCAATACTCATTGTATAGAAGACATTAGAAGACAATGTGGTAGAGTGGCAAAGGCCCTGGACTGAGAATTCATACAAATCATGCCTCAGATATCAACTGTGTGACCTTGGAGCTATTAAAGCTCAAAACCACACTAAGACTTTCAAGATATCACCTAGTAATTGCCAAGAAATTTATCATACATACATACATATATGTGTGTGTGTGTGTGTGTGTGTGTGTGTGTGTGTGTGTGTATGTTTAAACATATATTTCAGGAGTAGCTAAGTAGCTAGTTGGTACAGTAGATGAAACTCTGGACTTGGAATCAGGAAGACTTGAGTTTGAATCCTGCTTAAGACAGTTTAATCCATTTCTTAATCTGTTAAAATGAGTCAGGTTGGATTCCCTGGCGACTAAAGTGTTTTCTCATTCTAAACCTATTATCCTACTATTCTGTCTCTTCTGTGTAACAACACGATAACTGCTCTGAAGCTCACTTTCCTTTTCTATAAAATGGGCTCATGCCTAACATTTTATGCTGTGCTAAACACAGTATGTAGGGAAACTGTACTATATTCCATATAATAGTGCTTTCAAGGAATTTATAGTTTATTAGTAAAGGCCATGCTTTTAAAAATGGTGTATTCCAACAATGCTATAATGTATATTTCTGTTTAATGAATTATATTTTTTCATTGATTACTATGATGAAATCAGAAATTTGCTTTGCAGTTAATAAAAGTCAAAATATTCACAATATTGTGATTGTCACAAAATGAAACCAACAGGTATTAAATATAGCATAATCCCAGAAGTTCTAAGAAAATGGTCATCATATTGCCTTGCATTTGTGTGGATCATCTCAATCTTTGAAGTGTTTGAGATTCGATTGCTTTTTTCACCAGCCACAAACTGCCATAATACTTCTAATGTAATAACTTATAACTTATAACTCCTTTAGGCTTTTTTTTACAATGGTTTTTTAGCACCTGCTAAATTGCTTGAATTTATGGATCTCTTTGGAGATTTCTTTCCTGGGTATCCCTTATAGACCCAAGAAAATTTGCATAGGCGTAAACAACAATTGGGGAAACTGAGGGTTGAAATCCTTCTTGAGCAGTGAAAACCTATCCAAGTATTTGCTGGGTCAAAGATCAAACAATTTAATAGACTGTTCATGTTGAAATTTATATTCCTACTCAATGTTTTGTTTATTTAAATGATGGTTGGTGGCTTCAAGAGAGATTATTAGTACAAATAATACAATGGAAAAAGGCCAGTCATTGTTACAGATCAACTGGACATAAAGTTTACCTACGAGATAACTTGGATCCCCTTCTATTAAGAAGACAGGACAAGACAATATGGTGGCCAGAATTCCTTAAGGTAAGAATAGATTTTGAGGGGTCCCTTTCTTCATATTAACTAAATTTCTCTTCAGTGAACAATGCCTTTAATAAACTGAGACATATTGAACCTGAATCTATCTCCTCCAAACCATTTTGAATAGTAAGAATGGGAGCAGGAAGAAAAATATGACTAGACAGACTGAGAGACCCTCTGATAATTCAAGAATGACATGCTCAGGAAAACATACCAACGAACAGTGACATCACACCCATAATTAACATCTAAAAAGAGATGTGCTATGGCTTCTGAAAGGGGCAATTTCCAAGTTAATGATTAAAGGAAAAATGAACAGTAAGGATTTAGGTGAACAGATTTCTTTGCTTTGTTAGCATTCTCCTGACCAAAAGAAGACTTTAGGACATATTTTGATCAAGTCCCTATGCTATGCCTTAAAGCCTATTTAAAAAATGGAAACCAAGACACACACACACACACACACACACACACACACACACACACACACACACACACTGACTCCCTTTATTGCTTTCGGAACCTAGGATTTCTCGATGCAGAGAAAGAACCATACGCAGGTGACCGTGTTCACCTTCCAGGGATTCTCCAGCTTCCATGAACACCAGATCACACTCTTTGCAGTGTTCCTCACTTTGTACATCATAACCCTGGCCAGCAATGTCATCATTGTGACCATTATCTGCATTGACCGCCATCTCCACACCCCCATGTACTTCTTCCTAAGCATCTTGTCCACTTCTGAGACCTTGTACACACTGGTCATCATCCCACGGATGTTGTCAGCCTCACAGGATGGAATCAGCCAATTTCACTGGAAGGCTGTGCCACTCAAATGTTCTTCTTTGTCACTTTGGCCATCAACAACTGCTTCCTGCTCACAGCAATGGGGTATGACCGCTACGTGGCCATTTGCAACCCCTTGAGATATATGATTGTCATGAATAAAAAGGTGTGCACCTACTTAGTGGGTGGGGCATGTGCCATTGGTTTGACTGTTGCATCTATACAGGTGACATCTATATTCAACATGACTTTCTGTGAAGCAGAGGTAGCCCATTTCTACTGTGACATCCACCCCCTGATGAAGCTTGCCTGTATAGATACCACAGTCAATGAGATCATCACCTTTATCATCAGCTCAGGGGTGATCCTGGTGCCTATGGGCTTAGTCTTTATCTCCTACATCCTCATTATCTCTGCCATCCTCAAAATCGCCTCAGCTGAGGGACGGAAAAAGACCTTTGCCACATGTGCCTCCCACCTCACAGTGGTCATGGTCCACTATGGCTGTGCCTCCATTGCCTATCTCAAGCCCAAATCAGAGAATTCAATGGAACAAGATAGATTACTCTCCATTACTTACACCCTTATCACACCATTGTTGAACCCTGTGGTGTATAGCCTAAGAAATAAGGAAGTCAAGGATGCCCTAAGGCGAGCCATGGGCAAAAAGCTGCCCTAAGCAACTATGTGTTTCTCAAGCAGTCTTTGGGCCCATAAAGCTTATATGTTGACCACAAATATTACAAATAGTCTAAGTATATTAAATATCATTTTTATTCCTAAATTTGTATAGAGCCTCTTAATTCATTGGAGGAAGTGTAAACAAGAAAGGAATCTGATTTGGGTCTCCACTGCTTAAAAAGGAATTGGGCATCCCTCTCTTACTGCTTCCACACCTCCTTGCCTGGTTCCTGGTAATCCTAGATTCCCTTGTGTATTCTCTGGTTTAAGTGAGGACCCTCTGTTTTTGTCCTTAGTTCACCTGGAGACAAAGGTTGGGCTTCTCCAAAAGAACTTAAGTAACATTATATGAAAGCAGGTAATGTTTTTTTTAATTATGGAGCATAGATTTGTGAGGTTTAGAACCTAGAAGTCTTACCCAAAATATATATGTAATCCAGCCAACAATTTAGTATACTCCCAAGGCTAACTAGCCTCTGGCTCTAGCATCTAGACTTGGCCTTATCGTGTGATCTGCCACCTCTCTATCTTAGGAGAGGATCCCTAATTTTATTGTCTATGTCAGAACCTAAATCCACCTCTCCCTTTTCCTCTCCTCCCCAACCAAAAAGACTGGAACAACTACCACTCCAGAAGCTTTGAGGGTAGGACCACTAAAGAACTAGTAAAGCAGATACTCAAGTAGGACTGTGTTTGGTCCCAGATGAGAAATGTATACCCCTTTCCAACATGGCACCATTTTTTTGTAGGTATTATAACATGTCTTTGCCTGGACATTTATGCTTTCAGAACTTTCCTTTATCTTACCCATGCCCTATACCTCTCCCCTTAGCCAACTGGACCTTTGTCTTTTATCTGTTGTCACAAGCCCTAAAGACACGAACAAAAGTAGCTGCAGGGACAACTTCTTCACTGTCCACTAAGTTTGGACTCCCAAACAAAACATCAGCCTTGGATAACAAAAAATAATGCCTAAAGTAGCAAAAGTCTCCATCCATTAGCCTTACTTCTTTATTTGCACTGCCTGGGTGGTGAAGAATCATCTCATGAGAATGTATTTGTAAAGTGCTTTGTAAACTCTAAAACCCTATTATCAATACTAGCTATTATTATTTTTATTATTATTTGTGCCTAATAATAATAAAATAACAATGATAATTCATGCAGCACTTTAAGATTTGCAAGCACTTTACATATGTTATCCCATTTTATCCTCAAACCAACCCTTTGTAGTGGGGAAAGAGGTACTCCACATAACTGAATTTCTGGAATAACAATTTTCAGGATAATGAATTGCATCTCTTTGCACTGAAGAACTTTTATCACTCTATTCTTGCTTGAAATTTTTCCGTAATATATAATTTGCTTTCTGACCTTCTTTAGTCCTTGTGCTTAGGGTAGTTTATATGCTCAGGAAAAGTTACCCTAATTCAAACTAATTTAAGTTTAATCTGATTCTTCCATACAAAGGTAACGTATAGTCACATAGATGGTCACATTCATGACCAAAAGCTTTCATTTGCAATGTTTTATAATAATAACCAGAAGAACCTTATTTATTCAAGAACAATATATTTGTACCACATGACGATATCTAAAGTGTGAGTAAATTGATTTGAAAGGGAGACCCAGCAACTAATCACACTAAATCACAGTAAATTTTATTTGACAACCTATACTGCTGTCAGAATGATGCTCTGTACTCACCGGTCCATTCAAAACCCTTCAAAAGCCCCCAGTAAGTAACCTTCAAATTCCTTTGCCTAGCATTCAATGTTCTCCACAACACAGTGGTACCCTGACGTTCTATGTTTATTTCACACCTTTCAATACTGTAGTCAGATTGGAAAACTTACTTTCCCCCATAATTTCCACCAATAAATCACCTCCATGCCATTCCTCATGCTATTCCTTCTGCCTGGAATCATCTCCTCCCCGTCCCCAAGCTCACCTCCTTCTGTTGAATTCCTACCTATCCTCAAAAGACCAACTTAAATGCCACCTCCTCTGTGAAGGCTTTCCTGATCCCCCAAGTGAGTCATAAATCTCCCCCTAGAACTCAAGAAGCACTATCCTTTATCTTTGTGGATTAATTATTTATGTGTGTTATATCCTCCCATTAGATTGTAAGCACAATGAGACATAAACCAAATCTTATTTATCTTGGTCCTCCCTCACTGTCTAAGAAACATAATACGCTGCATACAGTAGATGCTCAATACTTGTAAAAAGTCTCCTTATTCCTATGAAGCCAATGCTTTTCTCATTATAGCGCCCCCAAGAAAAAAGTTCTTAATTTATTTTTCCCACAATTACTGTTGTATTTTTATAGACAAAGCACAAAATGAGGAACAATTCCTTAAGATTCTGAAAATTTTCACTGGGGATGTTTTCATAGGTACATTGTAGAAGACATTTGGGGAGATTCAAGAGCATTTGATTGACAACTTTTTTAAAAGTTGATGCAAGAATGTGTGTTTTGCTTCTTTTTTCCCCATTGTAAATGTCCCTGAAGTAAGCATAGGCAGCAGGTTGCTAGTCATTCTCCTACCACCAAGAGAGAATTTTTTTCTATTTTTCTGAGTTGCCATAACATCAGCACTAGCAGCTTCAAACGTAAGACACACTTGCCTTTGTAGTATAAGAACAAACCCTAAGGTGAACTGAATTTTTCATACTTGAATTATTAAATCATAGAATGCTACAGCTGGAAGGGGCTGGGAAGATGATTCAGGGTAACCTTCTTGAAAAAGAACGAATCCCTGACAAGTGGTCATCCAGGCTCCACCTAAGCATTTACAATGACAAGGAATTCTCTGTATAAAAAGGATTTATCAGATAGCTATAATTGTCAGAAAGCTTTTCTCTGCCATACACTAAAATTGCCTGTCTATAACTTCCTGTTGCTATCACCTCCTTTACTAAGTACCAGAGAAAGCTTATAATGTGGGTGTTTGTCCTCCAGCACCAGTGTTATAGCAGAGTACTAATGTATATATTTTAAATAATTCAATACTTCAAGGATCCATTACTATGCCCATGTGGGTACTTCTCCTCTTCACATTGCAACCCATCTATGACTCAAGATCATCTACTTAGAGCCATAAGGAAATTAGAAAACATCTAGTCCAAACCCATCATTTTAAGATGGAAGAACTGAGGTCCACAGAGGTTAAAGTGCTTTGTCCAAGATCTCACAGGCAGTGACAGAGGCAAGAACTCAGGTCCTCTGACTCCAAAGCCTCTTTCCACTGCACTACAGTAGCTTCCGAGATAATCTTTAATAGTTAATGTCCTCCCTCCCTCCACCCAAAAAAAAAAACCCTCATCATTGATACTGATTGGTTTTGCTGATTTTTTTCTCTTCTTTTTTTCTTCAAAAATTTTTTCTTTGGTATAAATGATGGCTTTCTAAGAGAGGAAAAAGGAAAGGAAACAAGAAAATCTGAGTGATTTGAAAACAAAGATATTAATAAAAGTATATTTTTAAATCACCATCTGGTGTCCAAACTCAAAATGAGCCTCTCTGAACTTAGCTGGGCTGGTCCCCTCAGATGTCAGAAATACAATCCATCATTTTCCATTGACATAGCTTTTGGAAATTCAGGGTTACATCTATGACACAATGAAATATGAAGGGACTTCCCAGAAGGCATACATTAAAAATTTACATACTGCCCTTATGGGTAGGGAGTATAATGTCATGACCTCAAAAAAAAAAACCAACAACAGTAGGGTGTCACAACTACAAAGAGCATTGGATTTCAGTCACTTAGTCCCATCCCACAAACATAACCAGAATGGTGGAAAGAGATGGGGGGATGCCCTTCCCCACACTGGGTCAGCTATTTACTATTTACTACTATGTTTTCTATACATATGTAAAATTAAAAACATATCCCTCCCCTCTCTTAAGACCCTGAAAAGTAAGTATTTCAAGTGTTTACCATCCTAGCTTTTTTTTAAATGTATTTTAGTTAACATTTATAGGGGGCAGCTAGATGGCACAGTGAATAGAGCACTGGCCCTGGATTCAGGAGAACCTGAGTTCAAATACGGCCTCAGACATCTAACACTTATTAGCTGTGTGACCCTGGGCAAGTCACTTAACCCCATTACCCAACCAAAAAAAAAAACCATTTATATAGTGCTTTAAGGTTTGCAAAGCACTTTGCATGTGTAATCTCATTCAATCTTCACAATAACACTGGGAGGTAGGAGCTATTATTATCCCCATTTTATAGATGAGGACACTAAGGTAGAGAAAGACATTAAGTGATTTGTCCAGCGAAGGATAGGGAAGGGAATAAACATTTATATGGTGCCTTCTATGTCCAGGCACTACGCTAAGCACTTTTTTCAAATATTAACTCATTTTATTTTCACAACAATCTTGTGAGGTAGGTAAGGTAGGTTATCCCCATTATACAATTGAGGAAAGTAAGGCCAACTTACCCAAGGTTACATAGCTAGTACATGTCTGAGGCTGGATTTAAATTCAGATCTTTCTGACTTCAGGTCAGTACTCTCTCCACTGTGCCACCTACCTGCCCGCCATCCTACTCCAAGTAGAATTTGCTTATTTTCCACATTGCTCCCACCCTACTTTGACAACTTCAGTTTGGTCATTTTTTTAAGTATGCAGATATAAGTTACACTAACCCATTTGCATTTTGTATAGCATGCATCATATAGTCATTGTTTCTTATTTTCTAAAAACTATATGCGTAATTAAATATACATATACCTATGCCCATAACTTGATGCAAATCGTTTGGAATGCTGCCCCTCAGTAATCCTGTGTGTTGGTCCAGTGTGCCCCACTGGTTTAGTGGAAAGCACATTGAATTTCAGAAAAGAGGCCATGAGTTTAAATTTAGGTTTGCCACTTATGAACTGTGTTGCCTTAGTCATATCATTCCATGTTTCTGAAATTCATTTTCATCATCCGTAAAATGGAGAGTTTGAATTAGATGACCTCTAAAGTCCCTTCAGATTCTAAATGTCTGATCTTATAATATTCCAGAATTGCCTCACTTTGTGGTGTTTGACTAAGGTGACAATAGTGGTAGCTGCTCTGTGGCCTGGGCCTATTTGTACATTACAATATCTCATAGCCATATTTCTCTTTTCCTTTTGTAGCTGTCACATCTAACACACCCGTAGTCTCTAGTCCCACCCTGACTTAAGGTTATTCCCAATATTATTCTGCTAACAGAATCATGCCCTTTTAAGCAGATCTTGCCACAAGGTAAGTACTATACTTATCATAAGTCACTCTGTATCTTACATGGTGTTTATTTCCCCAGGTTAATAGGACTGCAAAGATGTATCTCAGATTCATTCATAATAGCAATTTTCCAGCACAGTTTCTCATCAGGCAGCTGCTTATCTCCTCATATCACAAATCCCAAAGTGAAGCTTTCTTTGAAAAAGATCTCATACAATATCAGAGCTGGAAGGGACAAAAGAGTAATAATCTCCCTTTGCTCAGGCTCCCTATGGACTATAATATTTGCTCTAAATCTACCTGGCTACAGATGAAATCTTACTCCTTCCTGTCTCTCTGAACCTCAGTTTCCTCATCTGTAAAAACAATAAAATAAAATAAAAATAAAAATACTTACACTACTAACTTCACAGGGCTAGAATAAGACTCAAATTTGAGATCATATATATAAACATTTCATAAGCTTTAAAATGCTGTCTAAATGTCAGCAATTATCAACAGCAGCAGCATTATCATTATTTTCATTCTCTCCCAAAGATCACTTTGGGTCATTGTCCTCTTTTGAATCATCATTCATGTTGAATAATTATTCATCATTTTCCACTATTCCCCAAAAAATCTTACTGCAAGAAAAGAGAGGGGGTGTTATGGCATGATCTAACAAATCTTGAATCTTACATGAGCAAGAAATCCTCTTTGTAATCTGGAGGTGATAGCCTCCAGCCACAGTGGATAAGCTCATAAGAATTTCAGAGGACCCCAATAAACCATTTAAATGACACAGGATTATACTGAAACTGTTCTGGGTCAAATGTTCCAGCTTTTAGCTCCCAAATGACTGGCCCAGGTTTGCATTCCAAGGATCACAGATCTTCAGCTTTATAATCACCTAAGGCAGAAACATCAAGCATGATGCATTGTGCTCTGCAACACTCCAGAGTACTGCTGAACCAGATTAAAATGTAATTGGAAAATACATAACAAAATAAAAATTACAATAGATATAGATATTGTTAATATGTGGTTTTCTAAGGCAATATGAACCCACAGAGATCCTTATGTAGGGTTTAGTGGCCCCCATTTCTATTTCTGTTTAATACCATTGATCTAAGGGACCTAGGATTTCCCCATTACTTTCATTACATTTCTTTCAACAGAAATAAACAAACAAAAAAAGGTATGGTCTTTAAAAATTACAATAGCAGTACAGGTAAACAATCCAATTGTTTGTGGTAATACAGCTATTGCTTTGCTTTTGTCTTTTTATCTCCAGGGCTTAGCACATTGCCCACCCTTAAAGACAGAGCTTGGGTATTGTGTTCCCCTCACTCTACAGCTGCCTCTTCCCACAGCTGTTCAGAGCAGCAAAGATTTTGGACTGTGGGAGCAACAGAGTAAGTAATGTGATGCAATATTAGCAGAGAGAAGTACTTAAGGTGAGAAGAGACAATGGCTTCAGCAGACTTCTCTTTGCACTGGCCAGCTGTTGAGTCTACTCACCCTGCTCCATAATGGCCTGGTTGTGGCCAGGAGAAGCTTGAGGTCCCTAACAATGATGAGATGGTCATGGTCATGGTCAAATTCTACACCCCAAAATGATTGAGATACTGAGTCTACATAGATCCTAAATCCATTTCCTTGACGTGAATCTAGGATCTCTTCCTGAGTTCCTGCCTCTTTGTCTAGAACTGAACATAAAGCATATTCTCAAGGGGAGTAGAGATTGGGAAATAACCAATTGAAACTTTACATATCCTAAACTCCTCTTCCGTGGAGATCCAATTTCATTGTGACAGTATAACATGACTAGCCCTCACTGGAAATATAGCAATTTTTTTTTAAAGATGTGTGGCTTTGCTAGTGGGAGGGGGCTCAGAGTTAAGTTGTAGTTGGGTAGACCAATGAATTCTCAGATTCTTTGGCAATCAGCTCACCTCACCATAGAGGGAGGCAGACTTGAGTCATAGAAGGTCATTGATTCTTTGGCAACCACACAGAGCAAGGCACTTACTCAGCATCTCCACTCTAGCTGGGCCTGCAGAAACTATCAAGGTGTGCATGAGACTCTCCAGTGAGTCAGCTTTTTGCTCAAATATCCTGTCCATCAGAGCATTTTGCCCAACCTGCTTTTTCATCATTTTAAGTCTAATCAGGTGTCTCATAACACCATCTGCCTGTAAGTTCATTTGTTTACTTGAGACAATCAAACATTGTCTATACTTCCCGGTTCCACTGTTCCTCTGATTGCAAATTTCTGAAGCAGCTTCTCCAAGGGTAGCATGAACTTGGAGGCATCTTTCCCTTCATACTAATGTGTATTGAACAATTTAATATATGATTGCTATAGAGTCTCTGCACTGCCAAATTGCATCCCTTAGCCATTGCAAGCATGCCAATACTGTACCACAAGGCTTTTAAGACTTCAGACTACACACTGGATTGAAAGTGAATCTCTTGAGAATTGAGCAGTCTCTTCCTTTTCACTATCACAGTCACCTGCCCCTGCTGCAGTGTTATTGTGGCTTATCCTACCCAGAACTGGAATGATTCCTTGCCAACAAAACATGGCAACTTTCCTGAAAAGAAATATAACTTACCATAATGAAATCCTTGCACTGGCTTGTATCCAACTTGATCTGCACCTCCAGATGTCTGTTTTTTCTCATGCATACATTGGTCAGCATCTTCGGACAGTCCATCCTTCTGCAGGAAGTTTTCTTTTTTATTTAGAATTTTATTTTTCCCCAGTTACATCTAAAAACAATTTTTAACATTTGTTTTTAAAACTTTGAGGTCCAAATTCTCTTCCTTTCTCCCTCCTCACCCCACCTCATTGAGAAGGCAAACAATTTAATATAGGCTATACATGCATAGTTGTACAAAACATTTCCATAATAGTCACATTGTGAAAGAAAACATAGCTTAAAAAACTCAAGAAAAATACAGTTAAAAATATCTGTATTCAGACACCATCAGTTCTTTCTCCTGGGGATGGATAGCATTTTTCTTCATAAGTCCTTCAGAGTTCTCTTGAATCATTGTATTTGCAGGAAGTTCTTGAGTTTTATTTCTATTTCTTCTTCCTCAATAAGAGGTTTAGTGCCTAGGTTTCAGGGGTTTCTCTTGACTCATCAAATAGGGTTTGGTTATGTTTTTTCTCAGCAAAAACCAACTTATTGAATAGAAATCCTAATGAAAACCACTTCAAGCACCTTCATGTGTATGAAATGTAGAAGCAAAGTAAGACACTATGCCTAATCACAAAGATCCAAAGGCAGGAAATCAGGGGAAGTTAAATGGATTTCGAGGAGTGCTAGGTGCTTACTAGCTGTGTGACCCTGAGCAAGTCACTTAACCTCTATTAACTACTAGCTTACATTTCTTCATCTATAGAAGGGGGGAAATAATAGTACCTACTTCACAGGGTTCTTGTAAGGATAAAATAACATAAGAAACGTGAAGCACTTTGCAAGCCTTAAAGTGCTGTATAAATACTAGCTATTATTATAAATTTCCTGAGAAATAAAACAATGGGAAAAAAAATTTTCTTAGAAGAACAAAATCACTTAACACCACACCAGAGGTCATAGAAACTTGACACAAGAACACAAGAGCAGAGCACAACTGAAGAAGTAGTGTTATCCTTTATTATAGCTGTAGTCAAAGCGGACATATGGACATTAGATGCATTCAAGACAGGACTGCAGACTTAGTTTAACTAGTCAGTCAGTAGGCATTTATGTGCCAGGCACCATGCTTAAGCACTGAGAATACAAAGAAAGGCAAAAGACAGTCCCTAGTCACAAGGAGCTTACAATCTAATGGGGGAGACAATAGGCAAATAGCTAAGCACAAATAAGCTATAACAACTAGATTTTTTGTATGTCTAGTATAGCCAGAGTGGGAACTGTGACCTAGGACTCCACAGAATGATGTAAAAGCCCTTGAGTAAACATAAATATTAAAAGAAGCTCCAACTATCCCAAGGGAAACTTGTGCATGACCTTGGGCCATCCCTGGTACCATGCCTTCATTGTTTTGTTTCTATATAAATACCTGTCCTGACCTGGGTTGGAGAAGGGATTTACAAGGTTACTTTGTCCTTCTGCTCCCAGGATGATTGGCCTCTTGTGAGTAAACTCCCCCAGTTAACCCTAATAAAACTTATTAATGACAAAATGAACAGTTTCTTCATTATCTCAGTATTGTCTCTTTTTTGGAGGCAATCAGGGTTGAATGACTTGCCCAGTGTCACACTGCTAATAAGTGTCTGAACTCAGGTTCTCCTGACTCCAGGCCCAGTGCTCTATCAACTGCCCCATATCTCCTTATTTTCTCAGAGGGCATGCCACCTACAATTGGCATAATCAAGGCAGAACTTGCCGAATTGCAATAAGATAAATTAAAGACAATCAATAAATGGAAGGTGCTAGCATTAAGGATGATAAAGAAAGACTTCTTGCAGAAGATGGGATCTTAGCTGAGATTTTAAGGAAGTCAGGGAAGCCAGGAGGTTTCCATGAAACTATCATATTGGCAGAAAAAACCTGGTCTGACATTACAAATTCACAAATGCCATTTTTGCAGAGCCTCTTATCTATCACAGCAACTCAACCATGAGTAAGCTCTGGTGCAAAGAAGAGAAAAGCACTCACCAGCTGGCCATGTCCAAAGAACCTTTGGAGCTATCCAATGGAATTCTATCCTCAACTATCACACATGGATGGCTCTAGAAGGCAGTTAGAACCACCGGAGACATTTTATTCTGTGGCCACAACAGCTTGACTTGACACAATGTCTTGGGAGACTTAAGTCAATGGATGACATTTGAGCTAAACAAATCCTCAAAGAGAAGCAGCAGCGGGGAACTTTTGTGTGTGTGTGTGTGTGTGTGTGTGCTCATTTCCCACCTGGCTGAACTCTTCTGGACTTTCATCATGTCCTCTGGAATCTTATTATCCTATAAGATCATGACAACTCTGATCACACCTCCTCAGCACCTCTGACCCTGGGGCCCCTGGGACCCCTCCCTCCTCTGGAGATGGTGAAGGGTGTATAATGGAGAGCTCCTCCCAGATCCTCCTTTAAAGGAGGGCACTGAGGGCAACTATCTCATCATTCCCCAGCTAGTTATACTGCTCTAGATTTTCATCAAGTTCAAGATCAAATACCATTCTCCTCCTCAAACTTTCCAGCTTCCTTTTATGTGTTGTCTTCTCCCCAATCGATGGAAAGCTCTTTGTTGGCAGAGACTTTCTGCCTCCTTTTGTATTCTCAGCTCTTAGCACAGTACCTAGCATATAGCAAGCTCTTAATAAATGTTTATTGACTTTCTGACTCTGCGTGTGTGAGAGAGTGAGTGACAGTGTGTGTGTGACAGGGCATGCAATCAAGACACATATACAAGCACCAGTTAGACTTTCTATTATCATCCTCTATTCCTCTTGATCAGTATAGTGCCACTATTAAACATGTCATAGCCAGCACTTCAAAGGATTCCTCCACAGAGGGGAAAGGATGCTCCCCTGAGAAGAGCCTTAACTTCAAATAGTAAGCCCTTGATATTTGTAATAGCAGGCTGACATCTCCATTTCTAGCTAACTCTACCCACTCAAATCTTACCTTAGAACAGTAATTTTGTGACATTTTCAAACCAACCTTCTCCCCCTACAAGTGTTTCATACCTTCTTTTCCAACTCCTCATCCTGACTAGAGGTCTAGTACTTAATACTCAGAATCTTTCTTTAGTTATTATCTTTTGTGGGATACTTGTACCCCTACATCAAGTAATGAACCAGCAACATTCATTTTTTGGTCATTTTTCTCCATTCCTATATAGGTATTAAGTGACATTCCTCCAGACTGTCCATATTTTGAAAAGTCTTTTCAATATCTTCACCACTGGAATTCATCTTCCACTCTCTATACTGCTATGTTGTTGTACTCTACCCCTAATCAATTTCTATCACACAATATTCTTAAAATTAACAGTCTTTGAACAGGTTCTATTCTCACCAGTGCACAAATATCAATGGTAATATTTTAGCTCAGCCTCTATCAAAATGTACCTCAACAATGTGTCAGTGATCAACAACAAAGAGATATTGCAAGAGCAGCTCTGAAACCTCAAACACCAAATTGATGCTTGACACACCATAGCATGAAATATAATGAAACAATAGCTGTTCTATTCAGGAAAGCAATAACCTTGAACTGTCAATTACAGCATAGAGAAGTGGGAAAAAAACTGGAAAAATATCTTCAGTAAATCCTGAAATGCTAGAGGAAATAGCCTCAGCCTGACATAATGCTCAAAAAAGAAAAAAAAATTCCCAGTATTCACTGGGATAAATAGCAAAAAGTTGGGAATGAGCAATTTTCAAAGAAATACATGTTGTTAATAGTCACCTGAAAAAAAATCCTGTGAGGTTCCAATAATCACTTGGCACATTGTCTGGCAAACAGTTAGTGCTTAATAAATGTTTGTTGATTGACTATCATGACTGACAAAGTAATTGAATGGACAACATATTGAAGATATCAGCTAGATGAAAGCTAGGCAGTGTACAGTGGATACAGTGGTAGGCCTGAAGTACAAGACCACCTGGTTCAAATAACCTCACATGCTTAGCAGCTGTGTGACCCTAGGCAAGTCACTTACCCTTCTGTCTGCCTCAGTTTCCTCAATTGTAAATTGGGGATAACCACCTACTTCAGAAAATGTGTATTTCCACTGCAGTGTGGTGTTCTGTAGGACCTGATGGCCTGACTTGGACTCTCTCTGTACAAGAAGCTGTATTCCAGGGAAGTGATGGGTTGGTCCTCACATCAGACCAGAGCATGCAGGGACAGGTCTCTTTGGGATCCATCTCTCTGACCACAGATGAAAGATACTAAAGGCAGCTGCTGGCTTGATTCCAACTGAGTTGGGAGTGTGGGTACCTTTACAAGTATGTTTTAAGTTTTGATTACAAAAAAAAAAGGATCAAATGTGATAATATTTGTAAAGGGCATAGCACAGTGCCCAGCACATGGTAGGAACTCCCTCTCCTCTTCTTACAGCAAAGCAGAGCTCACAGCAAAACTCCTAAAGTAATTTCTCTGGGAAATTAATATGAACTCAGTAGCATCAGTTTTCAACCAATAGCTTCTGCTCACAGCAAAACAAATGCAAAAATCATCCTTTCTCCTCTCTTTTTTACCTCTCAAACCAGAGAATAGAAAGCAACCAAGCACCTCAGAGAGGTTTCTTCTCTCTCAAGTTCTAGATTGTCTGGAGAACAATAAACCCAAACAGCATTAGAATTCTACTGTTTTCTAATGAGCTTCCCAGTAGATACTCTAGTCTTTCTCCAGTCAATCAGCAAAGTAATGCCTCTTGTGGAATCAGTAGGTTCTCAGCAGAGTAGCAGAAGACTTCCTGTTATCTTATTCTCCTGATATCTTCTTCACACTCAGTTTCTTCAAAGCTAGTTTTTAGTCCACTCTCAATGCCTCAAAGCAAAGCCTATTGGTAGTTATGAGATAAAGCTCAAGAAATACACCTTTCTGTTGTTTTCTGAACCAAATAGTCCTTATTTAATCTTCCCACAATCTCCATAGATTTAATTGCTTTACAACTTTGTAAGTTATAATTTTAGAATAAAAGCAATCATATGCAAATGAACTTAATGGACCATAATGCTCTGCAGTCATCATTAATTTGGTCATTTCTCAGTCCTCAAAACTCACTGGGTACCTACCCATATG